GCCTATTAGGCTGGTAGGATCGTAGAATGCAAGAACTGATTGGCCTGCAGGAAAAGACCAATCAGGCTCCAGGAGGGAAGCAGAATCAGCCAATCAGATGGGACTTACTGTGTAAATAATGTATATAAAAGCCTGATGTTTGGGGGGGGGGGCAAAAAAATCACTGTTTTACAAGCTGCAATAAAGAGCATGAAATCACTATAGGACTCTGAGTATATTTCACCATGTATAAAATTCTTCTTACTTTCTCCATAAAACAAGTCCGTGTGGATGTTGGTGGTAACGTGGGGAGGTTTTTAATACATTGCTTCAATGTGAAACAGCTTTATATAACTGCTTCTATGGCACTTGCAGTTCAGATTTAAAACCCCAGGCTTTTATATGTTTTAGTCCAGCTGAGATTTGGGAACTAAATCATCACAGCACTTCTTTTCCACAACCCTGAAGTGTTTATGCCTAGCCACCAGAAGAAATGTGAAATTGTCGGAGACTGCAAGGGAAGTTGCTTCAACAAAGGGTTTCCTCTTTTTGGAGCCCATGTATGAGAAACTGTCCATTTGTTTGCTGACAGATGGCCTTGCCTAGCCGTTCTTTTGAATGAAGAGGTCAGTACCTGAAGAGTTATGAGAATGGGCTTGGATTTGTATGAAACTAGAGAGCCTTGGCTGTAACATTTGCACTTTAATTCAGCTATTTGGAAAAGCAGTCTTTGACCGTCTTTCTAAAAAACCCAAACCTCTGGTTATTGACTTGGGCTATAAACACTGCAAATTTTCAGCTTGCCATTCTTCTGAGAGTAGGTGCTTTTACTTCATTGTATTTTTCTCTCTCCTTCTTTATGCCCCTTTGTGACATGGTGTAATTTTGCCCATCAGGCTGCTCCTTCCCTGTTCTGCTTTTCGCAGTATCCTCTTTGAAGATCCGAACACATGGCTGCATTCAGCACTATGGTTTGGTTTTGTTTTTTAAAGGAAATAAATCATTATGCTAAGCCAACAGAGGAAAATTAACATTGACCAAGACCATCTAGCACTGAGACACTGGAATTAACTGTAGCAGGTTTCCTACAGCTCTGCAGATGCTGTAGGCCCACAACTCCCATCATTCCTGGCCATTGGCTGAGTCTGATGGGAGTTGGAGTCCAACAGTTTGCCCTATGTGGCCCACCGGTTGGTTAAATCTGGCCCATGTGGCAACAAAGCCCTTATAAAAAGCTCAACAACTTTGGGGTAAAATGGTAAAATCATAAAAAAGCTCAACAACGTCAATCCTGGAAAAAGGTCAACAATTGGTTGGCCCTTTGCTTGGCCCTCACAGCCCTTCACTTTATCAAATCTGGCCCTCTTTGAAAAAAGTTTGGACACACTGCTGAAGGCAAACAATTTAGCATGAAAGAGCATTCATGTGGCGTCCCTCAGCCTTGTTCTGGAGCAGACTTTCCCAAACTTAGGTGTCCAGCTATTGTTGGACTACGACTCCCATCATCAGGACCAGTGGTCAGGAAAGATGGGACTTGTACCCCCAAAGCAGCTAGAGACCTAAGTTTGGGAAAGCCTGTTCCAGAGCCTGGGGCGATTCATTACTTCTGGGAGGAGGGAGCGAATGTTCAGGCATTTGTTTTTCTGGAGTGCAATGAACTCCACCCTTAACCAGGGCAACCTTAGAAGCCTTCCCACAGTTTGAAAGTTACAGGGGGAAGAGATGTGAAGCAATTTTACGTACTTAGAAAGATCTTGTAATTGTTGGGAACTTCAGCTAAAGGAAGCAATATTCAGCGATAACCAAGAAGCAAATTGGTTTAATTCAGTGTTTCCCAACCGGTGTTCCGCGGCACACTAGTGTGCCGCCGGACGTTGCCTAGTGTGGCGTGGGAGGGAGGCGGGCGAGTCGGGCTAATCCTCCGACGAGCTCCACCTCCAGACCCATTGCTCAAATCCTTTAACCCAGGAGGGCGGGGAGGGGGGGGAGAAAGAGAAAAAAGAAAGGGTGGAAAAAAAGAAGGGGAAGAGAAAATATTTTTTTTAAAAAAGGAAAGAGAGGGGGGGAAAGCGAGGGATGGAGGAAGGGGAATAAACAGAAGGGGGGACAATGAAGAGGGGCGGGGCTTGGCAGGCAGCAGATAACTGGGGAGGGGGGCGCGGCTGGCGGCGGCTCAAGGCAGGAAGGGAGGAGCTGCCTCGCGGAGAGTCTTGGGCTGCAGAGATTTCCCGTTCAGGAGCGCGGGAGGCCACGCCGTGGATGGGAATCTCCTCCTCCTCTTCCTCCTCCTCCAGGAGAGAGGGTGGTCCGCCCCACCGAGTCGGGCCTGCTCAAGCGTGGGAGCCTATAGTTAGAGCTCAGCTCCTTTTCTTGCCTTCCCCGCCCCCCCCACGGAGCACATTTTCCTCGCCCCCCCAACCCCCGCATGTAGAATAGAAGCCCTCCAGCCTCCACGGTGCACAAACTCTCCCCTCTGCAACGAAGCGCTTTGTTGCATATCTTTGGTGAGGTTTTTAGGCAGTCTTGGTGCACCTTAAATCAGCGCTAATTGCGCCTGGACGCAGTATTTACTTCCGAGTAGGCCCCCTTCTCCCCCCCCCCCCGGTAGCACCTGACGTTGCTATTCGTATCATCAGGTTTGTTTGTTGATAATTTAATTGTTTTAAAAGCATCATGCTAAAGAGCTCTCTCCCACCCCCAGACCCTTGGGCAAAACAGAAACACACACATACACAAACACAGAGATTGAGCCCTGCAGGTTTTATGAAATGAATGGATTCTGAATGCCTGTTTCAGTGGCTTGTCCGCCTTAGGCTGCTGGGCCAGACACCTGTTACACGGTGCAGTCCGTAAGCTGTGAGCGCTGCTACCTGCCGCCGAGACCACGTAACGACAGTCTTGAAAGACCTACATTGGCTCCCAGTACCTTTCCGAGCACAATTCAAAGTGTTGGTGCTGACCTTTAAAGCCCTAAGCGGTTTCGGTCCAGTATACCTGAAGTAGCGTCTCCGCCACCATCGTTCAGCCCGGACACTGAAATTCAGCGCCAAGGGCCTTCTGGCAATTCCCTCACTTTGAAAAGTGAGGTTACAGGGAACCAGGCAGAGGGCCTTCTCGGTAGTGGCGCCCGCCCTGTGGAATGCCCTTCCATCAGACATCAAAGAGATAACCATTACCTTCTATGCTGTTACTATTTTTTTATTTTTTTATTTTTTTTTACATAAGTAAAAAGTGACCTTTCCCCATCTGGCATGGTGGTGTGCCTCGAGATTTTTTTCATGAAACAAGTGTGCCTTTGCCCAAAAAAGGTTGGGAAACACTGGTTTAATTCAAGCTCTTGCAGTTGTATTTGATGTAGGCATTCTAACTAGGTGTGTTTTAAAGGATCTTAAAACATAGCCCTGCATGTTAGTGGGATATGCTTTATTGGCTTGGATGTCCAACCTCCTCCTGGCTCCTTTCTGTACTGGCATAATATGGCTCTTGTTCTCTGTGCGTTTTATCAAAATCAATCTTAGCAGAGCTGGTGGATTGCTGACAGCAGATTACACAATAGGCTAAACCCTCCAAACCTGAATGTGAGGTGTGTTAATATCACAGTGCCAAGAATCTCTTCCCAGAGGCGTTATTACCTAGTAAAAACCCTAGAGGGGAAATGTTGGGCAAGCTCTCCTGCAAATGTGGTCAAGGTCACTGCCTGAGAACCAGATTGTACATTATGGATAGGCTTGTTCAGCCCAGTGGAGATTTGGGCTTCTTTTTCTGGAACTCCCAAGCTGTGTGGCAAACTGCTTTCAAGACTGAGGGGCCTTTCGAAAGCAGATGGTGATTGGCCATGGGGTCTCCTGATCAAAATACGAGCAGTCCACTGGGCATGCCAGGCTTTTGAGTACGCCAAAACCAGGTGGTAGCTCTTTGGAGCCTATCCTGTATTTCCCCCCGGACTGAGATAATTTCCACATAAAGCGGATGTCCTGCTTAAAGTTGCTTTCAATCTTTTCTCAGCATGGAAAGGAGGAAACACCTGATGATAGCCCAGCTGCATGTTATGTTGGACATTCCCTGTCCCCTCCCCTCGCCCCCTCCAAAATCAACTTCATAAGGGGACCGTTTTGTGTGGAGAAGCAGCATGGGGGAGGGTGTGCTTTCTCCTTTTCTCTCCATCCATTTCTGCATTTGTGCTTCCAGTCTTCCCACCCTGCAAGCTGCTTTGTCTCCTTGCAGGGTTTCCACATGTGTTTACCCTTGCAAACATGTATGAAGAACTTCATGGAGGGAAAAGCAACCGGGGGGTAATTAATTTGAAGTAGGGGGAAAGTTAAGCACCCACTGCTTATTTATGTAAAGCCCTGCGCCCGGCCCCCAGGAATGGCTCTTCTAGGTAGTAAATAGAAAAGGGCACCTGAGTTTGCTCACGTGAATCTCTGTGTAAAAATTCAGCCAGACTTTGCAACCTTGGCACTCTCTGTGCTGACTAGACTTATGGGAGTTGTACTCCAAAACATCCAAGGCACAGTCTGACCCCCTCCTTCGGCAATCCTCATAAAACTCTGGCCCAGTGGTTGCCATTTGATTTTGAACTGACTGATTTTAGAATATTGATTTTAGAATGCTGTGTTACTTTTATTGCTGTTAGCTGCTCTGAGCCCGGCTTCGGCTGGGGAGGGCGGGATATAAATACAATATTATTATTAATAATGATGATGATAATAATTAATAATAATAATAATAATAATATCTGGAGGAATACCCCTCGTCCAGTGGCAGCCAGCAGAGCCAACTATTTCTATCTTTGCCATCCTCCTCCCTTGAAGAAAAGGAACCTAGCAGACAGTGGGACCCCCTGGACTGGATGCATGTGGGAAGGCAGGCAGGGTGAGTGGGTGGCACAGTGCCCTGCTTGGCTTAATGGTCCAGCCTCCACTGCCCCCATCTTGAACCTGCTTGGGTACAGAGCCTACACTGGATATTTTCATTGCTTTATATCTGAATTTGTAAATATTTCTGTCTCTCTTTCACAGACCAGCTGCGAGGAAGAGTCGCTTGTGGCCGCACCTCTCTCCGCCTAGGCCCTTCTCAGCCAGAAGCTGGGCGAAGCTGACGGGAGCCTTGCAACGCATTGCGTTCCCATGGGGACTGTACCAGATCCTCTGAGGTCTGCCAAGCGTCCACTGGTCACCGCTTCCGAGGAGGAAAACGACCTGAAAAGGTTGCAGTCCTCTAAACACCAGTACAAGCAAGCGAGCATAGAGAGCAACAGTAATGGATTTCCTTTCACTTCCAAGGTGCAACCCACTGGAGATCGCCTGCTTGAAGGGAACTGCGGGGTGGAAGCTGATGCTGCAACGGGCGAACGGCACTGTGGGTATGACACTGGGAAACCAAGAATGTCCTCCAGCCCATCCAAAGAAGGCTGCCTAGCAGTTCTGGAGCCGGGGAATAACTCTGAGCGGGAAAGCTGTAGTGATGCTGGAACTCAAGGCCAGGTCCCAGCAAAAGAACATGCTGCAGTCAAGGCAGCTGCTACCCAGGAGGCCAATGAAATTGTGCCAAGTGGTGCTGGAGGGCAACTTTGCAGTGCAGCAGATAAGGCAAGCTCTCTGCCTGGAGGTGGTGGTGGCAGAGTCACAGAGATCAGAGCTCATGGCAGGTCTTCTCCTCCTTCAGATGCCCAGCAAGCCGCTCCAACCACAAAGGAAATTGTGGGTGAAAGGATTGGTCCCGAAGTGACGCAGGTGCCAGACTCAGCAAAGGAACTGGAGCCTGTCTCTGATCTTGCGCTGAAGGCCCACGGTTGCTTGGATGCAGAGCCAAAGGGCTCAAAGGAGACAGTCTCCGATTCTGGCTCAAGAACTGCACCAGAGATGGTCCCCAGACCCAGCCCTGGGAGCACACCACAGCCTTCATGCGGTGACAAGGATGCAGAGAAGGTAGGGCCTGAGCCCTCCGAGTTCAAGGACACAGGGACCATGATGGTGCAACCTGAGAGTCGGGAGGTTGCAGGTGGGGAGGTGGCAAGCAAGACCCATCAGGATGCTGGGGTGCAGGCCGTAGCCAGCATGGAAAGCAGATCAGCGTCCACCAGCCCAAGCATCTTTGCTGCATTTTTACGGGAAAACATGCCTCCCCAGGCCACACAGAAGCAAGAACAGTTGCACATTATTTACACAGGAGCTGGCGGGGAGGAGCAATCGGAAATCGTCGACGACTTTGCGGCGCTTGTCCAGACAGCTGTGCCTGCTGCCACTGTGACCGAAGCCCATATCCAGGCAGCAGCTGCAGTAGACGAGGGGTTGGCAGTTCAGGCTGTCAAACTTCAAGAGGGCACAGCAGGCACTCATGATACAGCCCACTCGACTTTGTCAGGCGACGCGACGTATCCCTGCCCTGGCGGTTTGCAAGAAACGTCGTCCAAGGTGACAGAAGCACAAACAGCAAATGCAGCCAGCCATCGCAGCGATGCTTCCCAGCAGTTGCCGGATGCTTCAGTTATGCTGAAGACAGCACCGATTGACCAGATTACTGTCAATGGCAGCGCTTCCCCGCACCCCGCGCGCAGCGAAACCAAGCTACCTCCACCTTCTGCTCTGCCAGGAATCAATAGCAAACCTCAGCACCTTGGACCCTCCTCTGTTGCAGAAAGCCAACAGACGCCTCCAGCCTCCTGCAGCAGATCTGAACAAGACAAGGCTCTCCGCACCGCTGGTGGCACTCCCAATATCGGTTGCAGAGAGCAGCTACGCACTGAGACGGTTAGGAGTCTTGAGACAGTTCCAGCCAGCCTCCTCGTGGATGTCAAACCAAAGGGGGGAGGGAAATCCGTCCCTCTCAGTCCGAAGGAACAGGGGACGATTAACACTCCAGCAGTGGCTACTGCGTCCCTGACTGTGTGTGCCCCAGCCACGGCAAAAATTGAGCAGGATAAGCTTCCAGAAAAAGAGGCAGGAGGATTTGGCATTCAGAATCTGGAAGCTGAGTCTGGGTTGAGTAGAAATTCTGGCCCTGGCCTAGGAACCAAAAGCAACAGAACTAAGAAGGGAGAGAAGGGCAATCTTTCAGCCTCTCCCGCTTTGCCCTTGCCAAAGCTGGGCGAGAAGAAGAAGGAAGGAAAACCTGCTGCGGAGGGCAAAGGGCACCTGAAGCAGTCTAAGCGCGTCCGGGATGTCGTGTGGGACGAGCAGGGCATGACTTGGGAGGTTTACGGGGCCTCCCTTGACCCCGAGTCGTTGGGGGTCGCCATCCAGAATCACTTGCAGAGGCAGATTAGAGAACACGAAAAACTGATTAAGGCCCAAAACAGCCAGACCCGTAAATCTGTTTCTTCGGATACGTCTTCAAATAGAAAACTTAAAGGGAGGCAGCACAGTGTTTTCCAGTCCATGATGCAGAATATCAGGCGCCCCAATTGCTGCGTTCGCCCTGCTGCTTCCTCTGTGTTGGATTGAAAGAGTCGGGAAGGCGACGAGCGTCCGTTTGTAGCCATTTGTTTCTGTGTATGCACAGAAATCTGTAGAAAATAAGCCCAGGAGCTCAGCTTTGATGCTTGAGATTCTGATATAATGATTGGGGGTGGGGGGGGCAGAGTAACGGCTGTGTATTGTATGCCCAGTAAGTCATCACATCTGAGCTGTCTTGTTCTCTGCAAACGACACGTGCAGCTTTTGCGTTTACTTAGAAGCCACTCCGGTCTGTTGCCAAACGACAACATAAGCACTTAAAAACGAAGCACAATGTGAGATTGCCAATTTACTGCACCAACGGTGTGGCAGCTTTTAGCAGACGGAAGAGAAGGGAGGCATCAAACCCTTTGCAAACGCCTTTCACGTACAACTAGCTCTTAACAATGTCAATAACGAAAACTTCAACAACTGTGTGTTAATGTAGCAAATATTCCCAAGTACCTGGATCAGGTTGCGTTGGTGCTGAGAGAGTCAAAGGAGCTGGTTTTCTTAAAATGATAGACTCTCTTTGAGGCGGTGGTAAGAGGATATCCCCTTGCAATTAGGGTGGTATTCCAAGTACGCCTGCCAAAAGGAGGCACCCCAAAGACGATCCACCCCTTTTGCCTCACATGCTAAAGAGCCCTTAGGGGTCCTGTACCAATCACATGCTAGCCTTTGCCAACCTGGGGCCATCCAGATGTTTTGTACTACATCTTCCATCAGCCCCAGCTGTGCTGATTGGAGTTGTGGTCCAAAACATCTGGAGGGTAAGCCAGTTGGACAAGGTTAATCTGTACATATATGGTTACAGTGTGCCAAAAGGCTCTTCTTGAAGGCTCTGGAAACCTCTGGCATCCCAGACGCAATAAAGGTCCTTCAAACTGGAGTATAAAGGACTTCAGAAATACCCAAGAAATTTCTGTGGGTGCCAGAATTTCTGTTAAGTGTGAGATTTTGACTGTTATTTGCTCCTTAATGGGTCTCCTCTTTCTGTCCTTCCCCCCCCCCCACCCTCCTGGTTGCAATTTTGTATTTTGCAATGTTTTATCTTAGAGGTGATACTTCCATGTAACACAGAAGCAGAGAAATGGTTTGGATTTTCAGCAGCAATGTAGAGAGGGCACGAAAGATTATTGTGCAGCCTTGTTAAAACTATTTTTTATATATAATTTTTTTAAATTAGTTTTCCACTATACCCCCCAAAGTAGCCAAATTATAACAATAACAATTAATTCCCAAATGGTACAATTACCAAAATGCCAATCAACTTCCATTTTAGTTAAAGTGGCTCCCCGTATGGTGGTTTGGGTGCATTTCTGATCTTATATCACTGCGTTCCATGATCTTAATTTATGTCAGTTACATTTCAGTTATTATAATAATCCCTTAGTCAACAACTACATAATTAATGATCTCCATTCGTGATGTTATAAGATACAAATTTATAAAGCTTCAAGTGAGGAACTCAAACTATTATCTTTATTCTGCCCTGTGTGTGAAAACTGTTAGGTCCATAGAGATTCCTTCTGTCCATATATGATGTTGTTTCTTTCACTTCCCAACTGTTGTTTTCTTCCATTGTGACTTGGTGCAGAACTGAATCTCAAAGTTTCTCAGAGGTCTTATCTCTCCATCCCTTGCTTCGATGTCTCAGAACAGGCGACAGTTTCCTAGAAACCATTCCGTCTCACTAGTAAACCATGTCACAGATCTTCACCATTTCTCCCTCAGCCTAGGAAAAGGTGGGCAGTTTTCAAATGTGCTGAATATTTAATACTCTTTGCCAACTCCCAGAATCTCTGCAGCGTTCTTATCACAGCCCCCAGATTCTTTTCCTTTCAGCTAGAGATTTATGGTGCAATTCATGGTGCCAGGACCGTCTGCTCGCTGCCATGTTAGGCAGAAGCTATGCCTCTTGGTCTTGAATATGAGCAACCAACAGAACAATGTTGTCATAGGTTTCTCAAACATTGTGTTTCCCTACAGAATGTCCCCAAGAAACTTGTTTGGGAGGGTGAAATACCTGCTAGTTCTTTACTCTGTCTTGTTAACATGGAGAACCAGTGTGGTGTAATGGTTAGGGTGTTAGACCAGGATCTGGGAGAGCAGGGTTCAAATCCCCACTCGGCCATGAAGCTCACTGGGTGACCTTGGGTCACTCACCATCTCTTAGCCTAACCTACCTCACAGGACTGCTGTGAGGATGAAATGAAGAGGACAACCACATACACCACCTTGAGGATAAAGGTGGTATATAATTGTTAACATTTCTAGCTCAGAGGCAAATGTGAGTGCCCCTTCATTTCAGAGCAGGTGGGAAGAGCCTCTGAAGTGGCTTCAGCGTGGATGATAACATTGTGGGGGGAATCTTCATTGCTAGCCCCTCCTGAATGATCTCAGGGCAACACAGGAAGGATATGCATTTTAGAGGCTTCCCATGCTGTTAAGGTACCATTCTTTCCATCAGTTTCACTCAGTAAGGCTTAAACAAGATTTCATCCCACATAGGTTTCCCAGTTCAGAGAACCTTTGCACTCTTACTGAACTTAACTATTAAAAAAAAAGGAAAAGGAAAAAAATCAATTCCAAATTATTCCCCTCTCCGCAAATTGGCGGTGACCACTCAGCCAGAAGAGCTTAGTAGATTGTTAATTGATTTTGTCACTCCAGTTGTGTAACTGGTGCTTTATAGATCTGGGGGCTAGATTAAGAAAGAAAATCTGGGGGAAGGGAAATCACAGCATCCGGATAATTGCCCAACCTTCGCCGGGCTTTCCATGTCAAAAGCCACAAGCCTAGCCAGCTGAAAGTGGAAAGGTCTGTGGTATATCTGTTCCCTTGCTTGAGATTGGATGGGTAAAAGGCTTAAGCATCCCAACAGAATCTGCTCAAGCAGAGTAGGATGGATTCCAGGAGTGAAATTCAAATTTTGCAGTCATATACATGTTTATTACAGATAAATTTCAGTGTGGAACCACCAGTTGCACAAAATAAAAGTAGTCTGCTTTCAAAAGTGGAACCCCTATGTTAAATATTCCCCTTCCCCCTCCACATTGTGCAGTAAAACATGTGGCCTATTTCTGATGCCACTGTTTTGTGCATTTTCCGTCTTTCCGTAACTGGCTGTTGAGATTCCAGACATGCATGACATTATGACATCTAGCTGTAAGGGGTGTTTTATTGCTCGTTTTGGCAGCAACCCTGGGTTCCTTATGACATGTAGTTCCACTGTCCCATTCGAAGATTTGCCTTCACACTAGAGTTTACTTAAGATGTCAGTTTTGACATCAACATATTCCAGTACTGACCACCCAATTCCAATCTCCCATGCCTGTCCCTCTGTCTTTTGTTCATAGTCAGAAAACAGACCCAATAACTAGCACAGTTTGAGTATGTGGTGTTGTCTGCCTTCAAAAAGAAAATGCTTGCATTTTTCCCCATCAGAGAAACTAAAAAATAAAACCACAATGCCATACTGGGATAATGGAAATTCATGTGGAATGCAGTAAAACAGAGTTTCACTTTTAAAAGTTTCCTAAGAACCAAGTCCACAAACTGATTAAACCTAAATCCTTGGATTTGAATTAGCTGAGTCCCAGAAAAATTCAGAAAGACTAAGCTGGCATAAATCCAAACCTGCCTAGGATTTCATGACTTCGCTGGTAGGTTGTTCCTATTGCCTAATAGCTATCTTTAAGACTACACCAGCCAATCCTTCGTGGGATACAGCCAAGAGAGAAATCACAATGAAGACAATAGACCACAATCCTGGCAAGATTAAGCACTTGTATATCTCACTAATTTCAACAGGAAATTAAGCAAGTGGTCTGGTTCATGTCGCAGCAAACCATGGTTTATAGTGGAATCCTCCAGATGTTGGACTACAGCTCCTATCATCCCTGACCACGGGATGGGGACGTTGGGATTTGGAGTCCACAACATCTGGAGGGTGACAGGGTAGCCGTCTGTAGTTTATGGCTTACCCTGAAAAAAGTAAATACCTCTCGCTTTGTTCTTCCCTAAGCAGGACTTCAGGAAACCTGAAGTTTGGCTTCTTGAGATAACCAAATGCAGGGTGTGGTTCACATTCACAAATCACAACAAGCCTTCATAGTCTGTTTTCATTCACACTAAAGGGAGGAGCCAAGTACGAGCAATGTACCCATTCACAGTAAAGCACAAACCATGGTTTACTGTGACATGCAAACAAGGCCTGCATCGAACTTTTTTCAAATACCCCTCCAAATGCTTAACTTTGTCTGAAATGTATTCCACAGTTGTTGTTTTTAAAAAGCATGAAATCAGTTAGTTCCTTTATTGCCATGTATTGTGCAAAACCATTTTTCCTTCTGTTTTGTTTTTGTAAGGGGGAAAAAATGTTCAAAAGCTCTGTTTTACGTATTGGCTTGAAGCTATCGGCACTGGTGTTTTTTAGAATGTACTTAGATGTACATCTTACTGACCCTTGCTTCATTGTTTCCCTGGCGGCAAAACAGGCTGTTCTGGTGGGCATGCAACACACATAATAATGTTAGGAGATAACTTACTGTAAGGAGCGCCAGTTCAGCAAATCCTTCCTTGAAATGCTGTCCTTAAACAAATAAGTGAAAAACATTGAACACTCTTAAAAGAATTAATTCAGTTGCATTTAAAACAAAAACAAAAAGCAGCAACAGCTTTCACCGTTGTGTTTTGCACAAATATTATCACCATATTCTTTAGAAAGATTTGCAGTCTAGTTTTTGACTTTACCCATTGTGCTTCCTTAGGGCTCATATCCATCTGTAATTAGGTGCCTGTAGCAAGGGCTGCGAACAAAATTAGCAGCTAAGGGAATAGGGTATTGTGGAGCAGGGTTTCCCAAATGTGGGTCTCCAGCTGTTTTTGGACTATAGTTCCCATCATCCCTGACCGCTGGTCCTGCTAGCTAGGGATGATGGGATTTGTAGTTTATTGATTGATTGATTGATTGATTGATTTTTATTGATTTTTCTTAATGCTTTATTGGTTTTTTAAAAAACAATACAATACAAATACAAAGCAAAACAATACTCAACCATCAACAAAAGGCAATCCAAGATCAATAACACTCATTACAAAAGAAAAGAAAAGAATGAATTCACATGTCATGAATTCCAACATGACTTCCAATCCCCCCATTGTGATTCCTAATTTACATTACGAGTGCACACTTAACTTTATCTCTCCTAGGTTATTCGGTTCTGTTAATTTTGTAAACTTCTCTTATTTCACACAGAAATCAATCAAGGCCTGCCAAAGAACTTAGATTATTACACTGTTCTTTTAAGTATTCTCTGTAAACAAGCCACACTCTATTAAATATTTGATCTGTATGGTCTCAGAATCTTGCTGTCAATCTTACTAGCTCTGCATATTCTAACATTTTATTCTGCCAATCTAATTTTGAGGGAGTAGAAACTCCTTTGTAGTTCAACAGCAGCTGGAGACCCAAGTTTGGGAAACCCTGGTTTTGAGAAAGGGAGATTTGAGGCAGAGCTCCCTCCCACCCAGCCCCCAAATGGGATCAGCATAGAGCTTAGCACAGTCCTGATCGTCCCCATAGAATCATATTTGGAAGGGACCTTGAATGACCTTGGGGGCCAATCTGTAATGTGGAAGCCGACATGATGCCCTCCAGATATTTTTGGACTCCTCAGCTGTTGGCCATGCTGCCTGGGGCTGATGAGCATTCAAGTCCACAACAGCTGAAGGGCCCCACATTGGCCACCCCTGATCAAAATGCCCCCCTACAGCATGGTTTCCCAAACTTACGTCTGCAGCTGTTTTGGAACTACAACTCCCATCATCCCTAGCTAGCAGGACCAGTGGTCAGGGATGATGGGAACTGTAGTCCAAAAGCATCAGAAGATCCAAATTTGGGAAACGCTGCTCTGACAGAACCAAGGTTCCACTGTAAATCTTGTGAAATAAATCTAAAAATTAATTATTATTTTTAATTATTTGAAAATCCTTTTTTTTTAACCTTTTGATTTCCACATACCACAAAGCTGGGTGTTGTTGTTTTTTACAATGCAATCCTATATGTTTCTGCTCAGAAGCTAATCCCATGGGGTCTAAACAGGCCTACCGCTGAGCAGATGAGAGTGGAGTTGGTGCTTAAATGACTGAGTTGTTTTTGAAGATATTACTCTTGAATATCTGCCTGGGCTTATTTCTGCTTTCTGCAAAGTCCATCCTACCCAGCACTAATCTTCTCATCATTTACAAAGCATTCTTTACGGGATGAAGGATGCAATGCCATATTAATAGGAATTACTTCCTTATGGAGAGAGAGAGGTGGATTGGGGGCAAGTATTTATGCTACCGTGCAAGTGGTAAATAGAACATGCTGATAGGAGTTTCACGACAAGTATTTTACAAAATATGGGATGTTTCCAATGTGTAAATCTTCCTTTTGCATAACTGAACAACATATTTCTGGATGGAGTACCAGAATCAAATGGATTAGAAATTTAAGTTCATTAAATCTTCATCATAATTGCCATGCTGCCATTTCAGTTTTATATTCCATGCATT